AAGAAGGTAAATGGGATGTTGGCCTCCATTGCGAGAGGATTTGAGTCCAGGAGCAGGGATGTCTTGCTGCAATTATACAGGGCCTCAGTAAGACCCTACCTGGAGTATTGCATGCTGTTTGACCTCCTTATCTGAGGAAGGATGTCTGGCTACGGAGGGAGTGCATTGAAGGTTTCGCAGACTGATTCCTGGGGATGGCAGGATTGATGTATGAGCAGAAGTTGAATCTGTTAATATTATATTAGTTTGAGTTCAGAAAAATGAGTGGGGGAGTCTCTTAGAAACAGGACTAGATAGGGTCAATGCAGGAGGGATGTTCCCAATGATGGGATTGTCCACAGCCGGGGTCACAGTACAAAGATGGAGGGTAAACAATTTAAGGTAAACATGAGAAATTTCCTCATCAGAGAGTGGGGAGCCTGTGGAATTCATTATCACAGAAAGCAGTCAAGGCCAAAGCATTGTATGATGTCAAGAAGGAACTGGATATCGAATTTAGGGCTAAAGGGATAAAACGTTATAGGGGAAAAGCAAGAACAGAACATTGAGTTGGATGATCAGCCACGATCATAATGAATGGTGTAGCAGGCTTGAAGGGCTGAATGGCCTATTCCTGCTCCTTTGCCTCTATGTTTCTTTGGAGTCCACAGGGACCGGGCAAAGCCTGGCACATAGTAATATGTGGGAGGTCAGTCATCTCAGCTCCAGGACATCTCTGCAGGAGTTCCTCAGGGTAGTGTCCTGGGCCCAACCATCTTTAGCTGCTTCATCAATGACCTTCCCTCCATCATAAGGTCAGAAGTGGGGATGTTTGCCGATGATTGCACAATGTTCAGCACCATTCATGACTCCTCAGATACTGAAGCAGTCCATGTTCACATGCAACAAGATCTGGACAATAACCAGGTTTGGGCTGACAAGTGGCAAGTAACATTCGCGCCACACAAATGCCAGGCTGTGACCATCACCAACAATAGAGAATAGAGAAGCCGTCATCTCTTGACATTCAATGGTGTTACCATCACTGAATCCCCCACTATCAACATCCTGGGGGTTACCATTGACCAGAAACTCAACTGGACTCACCACATAAACAGAGTGGCTACAAGAGCAGGCCAGAAGCTGGGAATACTGCAGTGAGTAACTCACCTCCTGACTCCCCAAAGCCTGTCCACCATCTACAAGGCACAAGTCAGGAGTGTGATGGAATACTCCCCACTTGCCTGGGGTACAGTACTGGTGGGGGACAGGTCTGTTGCCCCCAACAACACTCAAGAAGCTTGGCACCATCCAGGACAAAGCAGCCCGCTTGATTGGCGCCACATCCACAAGCATCCACTCCCTCCACCACCGACGCTCAGTAGCAGCAGTGTGTACTATCTACAAGATGCACGGCAGAGATTCACCAAAGATCCTCAGGCAGCACCTTCCAAACCCACAGCCACTTCCATCTAGAAGGACAAGGGCAGCAGATACATGGGAACATCACCCCCTGCAAGTTCCCCTCCAAGCCACTCACCATCCTGATTTGGAAATATAGCGCCGTTCCTTCACTGTCGCTGGATCAAAATCCTGGAATTCCCTCCGAGGGACATTGTGGGTCAACCCACAGCAGGAGGACTGCAGCGGTTCAAGAAGGCAGCTCACCCCCACCTTCTCAAGGGGGTAACTAGGGATGGGCAATAAATACTGATGTCCATATTCCACAAATGAATGAATGAATGAACCCCAGTTGTACACTCATACACCCAGTTCTCTCTGAAATCTGCACACTGTTTAGTTGCTCCTTTTCATTTTATATTATCTTTCAATGTTCTTCCCACTAAAGTGCATCACGTCATACTTCTCTGCGTTGAACTTCATCTGCCACATAAAACTGGCCACTCCACCCAGCTTTTCAATGTCCTTTCAGAGTTCCACACTGTCCTCCTCACAGTTTGCAATCGTTCATCTGTAAACTTTGGAATTCTCCCCTGCACACTGAGATCCAGATTAATAATATGTATCAGGAAAAGCACAGCCCCGTACACACACTGACTTGGAGATGAAGCTTCGGGCCTAGACCCTTCGGTCTAGGCCCGAAACGTCAGCCTTCCTGCTCCTGATGCTGCTTGGCCTGCTGTGTTCATCCAGCTCTACACCTTGTTATCTCAGATTCTCCAGCATCTGCAGTTCCTACTATCTCTGGAGATGAAGCTGTTGTGTTGAAGACAGGTGGGAGGAGACTGCAGCATCAGCTCTGGTAGGCCATCTAACTCTGTACTTCCTGAGCTAGGACAATGCACAGAACGTGCTCGTGCTCGTGCCTGCCACTATCCCCCAGTACTCCCACACCACCCCCATCCCCATCCCCAAAATTCTACTTATTGACCTAACAATTAAGTTAGGGAAGGCTGAATCCTAAACAGAAATTGCTGCAGAATCTCAGCAGGTTGGGCAACAAACCAGAGTTAGCATTTCGAGTCCAGTGAGCCCCTGACAGAACTGAAAGTGGGCTGAGGTGGGGTGATGCGGGGTGATGGTGTTCACTTAAGATTTTGCCTTATCGTCAGCTATCACTTTGTTTGTTTGCCTGCTCTGCATCTCCATGTACTCCATTCCCTCCCCTCCCCCGGTCATCATTATTAGCATCTTTCCAGCTATTTTCACCTCTGACAAAAGCTGTCTGGACTTGAAAGTTTAACTCTGTGTCTCTCGGTCTCTCTCCCCCCAACAGATGTTGCCAGACCTGCTGAGATTCTCCAGCAATTTCTGTTTTTGGTTCAGATTTCTGCACAATGTTGTTTTTACAATTTTCAGCTAAGAAAACCTCTCTGTTCCACAATCTCACCTTTTTTGAGAAAGGCAAGTTTTTTTTGTGACTCATTAGCTACATATATATTCTGCATCAGGCAGAAATGGTTTCGGGGGCCCAATTTTGCTGAATCCATTGATTCTTTTGAAAGTGTTGCATCTCATTTGCAGACGGCAGAGGAGTGGCGTATAGCAGCAAACAGGAATAAACTTACCGGATGTCATGAGGGAGTGCAGATTGATCCAAACTGTACTGAATCACGGCCAGTTTGCATAATGTCTTCAGACTTGGACCTGACAAACAACCAAACACATCCTTCAGAAGTTTGGTAGCATTGCCAGGGTGAAGTCCCAGTTCCAGTTATTGGGGTAACTGCTCCCTGGCGTATTCTCCATAGCAACACTCGTGCAATCAGAATGGATTTGCCAAAAAACCCAGCAACACCTTCTTTCAGCTGCAGTAGGAATTGCTGTGCCCTTTGAAATGAGGGATTCTTGTACCTGTCCTGATGAGTTCGAGTTGAAATCCTTCAATAGCCCGTTTGTTTCTCCAACGATAATCGAAGGAAACAGATTCTGAATTGATAGACCTTTTGGACTTGATAGTCAAGTCATCCACAAAGCGCTCACGTCTAATGTATTTGTACCAGAACAATGTAACTAATTATTAAAATCTCATGTGTGTTACATAAAACATCCCCCAAAATACACAGAATCAAACAGTGTAGAGACCCATTGGCCACACAATTTCCCATTGGTCTTTTCCCCAGATCAGTCTATACGTACATAACACACAGCAGTCAGAAGCTTACGTACTGAAATCCAGGATGTACAGGTCAGAGTGATCCATCAGGTTAAACTCATCCCCCATTCCTTGCTCTGGGCATGGGCTATAGAAGAGACAGAGAAAGACATTAATACAACTGGCCACACTGGGGAGATGGTCTAGGGCACAGACTGGTCACAACACTTTGGAGACAGGTCTGTCGCTGTATAACACTGGGGTACGGTACCGGTGGGGGACGGGTCTGTCGCTGTATAACACTGGGGTACGGTACCGGTGGGGGACGGGTCTGTCGCTGTATAACACTGGGGTAC